GAAGAGGTTTCCAATGGTATTAAGTTTTTCAATTTTGAATCTATATAATGCAAGATATGATTTTTTCTAAAATCGATACCCAAAGCTGAAATTTGTCAATTTCTTAGAAAATAAGATTTTTGAAACTTGCCTTCTTTTCTCGATATCGATTGAACATTTTGAACTCGATTTCATGAAAAATACTACTCTTTCTCTTTAGAGTTTAAAACTTCACTCTTGAGTCTCGATTATGAATAATTAAGACCCAATTCATGAATTCTCTTTAAATTGTGCAACCTTCTTTGATAAGTAGGGGTTCTAAGTGATAGTGTATAATAGTTGATGGTTAATTGCTCAGGCGCTCAAGAAGACCTTCAAGAGGAATTCGAAGTGGACGCCCAAACGCTTGTTTGAGTACTTAATCACTTATTTTGAATAGGTGAGTGTTCCATATAGGAATACGTAATTGAATAAGTCTAGGACATGCTTATTTCATGATTATTAAGTGTTAAGTACTATGTGTTAAGTATTTACCATACTCATGCCTATTTAAGGAATGTGTACTTGCATTGCATATTTACATGAATTGGTTAAATGATTAACCATATCAAATGACCATATGAACTCGATACATGTTTAACTTGTTAGATTGCTTGCTTAGCCTACTTGGTTTTGAAAAATGGAGTCGAGTGTGTATTTTATCGCACTCGTTCTCTTTTGAAATGAATAACTCATGCTTGGAAGTGCTCCAATAACATGACTTGGTATACTATGGTTGCATACGTCGTTGGAATGAATCTTCTCGACGCTCACATGGTAAAAATGGGATAACGGCCAATGATGGCCTATTCATATGACAAATGCCTGTCAATTGACCGTCACTACTCAACCGTTAACCGTTAACCGTGAACCGTGAACCGTTTACCAACCGACATTACTACCTGATTACTTGACTATTTGCTCACATGATTTCCAATCTACATGACTATTCGATATCCGTGAATTACATGCTCCCATGAAATTCACTTGTATTGCTTACGTGCTTACGTGCTAAGTATCCACTTGATTATTTGATGATCATGAATCACATGTTATATGAAACTGTCCATCATTGTTAGGCGAGTGTGTACTTTATCTCACTCGACCTACCCAAATGATGAATTTTACCCTTTTGTCGAATTACTTGGTTACCTGTGCATGTTGTAAGCTCTAAGCTGAACTGGGCCCTGCTCATGGTTACTGACCTACTCGAGCCAGGACTGGGTTCGGTCGGGTAGGTTGGAACCTTGGGACACCGTTTCGGTATACTCGAGTATTACCACTGGAGGGATAAGGTGATGGCCAGTCAAACCGAGGGAATCCGGAAGTCATAAGGTGCAGATGATCGACAGAGTTCCACTGGAACACCGTATCCTACAGTATATGTTTACCTTGTATCATGATAATTGTTTCATGCTAAAATGTCAACATGAAATCCTGAGACATGCCTGCGATATGCTCCATACCTGTTACCTGTTTAATGTACTCATATCATGATACCTGTTTCATGTTAATGCTCCATACTTGTAACATGCTTAATTACTCGCACCGGTACTAAGCTCCAATCACTCGTGAACTATACATGCCAATGTCTTGAACCATGATAACTGTCTCATGATAAATGTCTCGTACCATGATACATGTCTCAAATTAACCGTACAATGATTATCACCTCATGATAACATGCCATTGTGTAACCTTGAACCATGCATATGATATGCCCAACTTACAAGATTTATTTGAACTATTAGAGTGTCTTGGAACCTCACTGGGCTGTGTAGCTCATCCCACGTTGTGGTTTTCTTTTACAGGGTTCGAGACTAAGGGTACTCGTGAGTAGTACTAGATTGTTTTCTTTTGAAGATTTTAAGTTATATTATAACGGATGGCTATTGTACCCCTTTTCCGTTGGGTTGTATTTAAGCTTGGAAAGCTACATAATTGTAAGTGTGAGATATTTGAAGTACTTTAATTATGTATTGAAGTTACTTAAAGTATTTCGGGCTTTTGAATGATGGATTGTAGTGAGTCCTGGCGAGAGCTGGGCAGGCGTCCCGCGGATACCCTTTGGTTCGCCTTAGGGAGAAGTGGGGGCGTCACACATTCTGCCTCTTTACCTGTTGCTGCTAATGCAACAAACTCAGACTCCATAGTTGAATGAGTAATACACGTCTGTTTCTTAGAAGCCCACGAGATAGCTCCTCCGCCTATTTTAAAGATCCAACCAGACGTTGATTTATTATCTTTTATACTAGTTATCCAACTAGCATCACAGTAACCTTCAAGTATCGAAGGAAACTTGTTATAATATAATCCAAAAGACTTTGTCTTTTTAAGGTAGCCTAGTACTCGTCCAATTGCTCTCCAATGGTCAGTACTAGGATTATGAGTAAACCTAGAAAGTTTGCAAATAGCAAACGCAATGTCAGGTCTAGTGCAATGCATAGCATACATCAAACTACCAATTGCACTAGCATAGTCTAACTGACTAATAGATCTTCCCGAATTTTCTATTAGCTTATTAGAAATATCAAATGGAGTATTAGCTTCTTTTATTCCCAAATGATTAAATTTGGATAGAATCTTGTCAACGTAATGAGATTGACATAGAGCATAACCCCCACTCTGTTTCTTAATTTTGATTCCTAAGATGGTATCAACTTCTCCCATATCTCTCATTTTAAATTGGGAGGTTAAGTATTTCTTAGTTTCATTTACTCCTTGCATGTTAGTCCCCATGATTAACATATCATCCACATAGAGACATATTATTACACCATAGTCTTTGGTAAATTTAGAATAAATGCATTTATCTGCTTCATTGTGTTTAAAGCCATTTGATAAAATTACTTTATCAAATTTCTCATGCCACTGTTTTGGAGTTTGCTTTAAACCATACAAGGATTTAACTAATCTGCAAACTTTCTTTTCATTTCCAGGAAATACAAACCCTTCGGGTTGCTCCATATACACTTCCTCGTCTAGATCTCCATTTAAGAATGCTGTTTTAACATCCATTTGATGAATGTATAAATCGTATATGGATGCTAAAGCAAACAACACTCTTATAGAAATAATTCTTGCAACAGGAGCATAAGTGTCAAAGTAATCAATTCCTTCCTTTTGTTTAAAACCTTTTGCAACAAGTCTTGCTTTGAAGGTTAGTAGCGAACCATCAGTGTTACGTTTTCTTTTAAATATCCACTTACATCCTATAGGTTTACAACCAGGAGGTAAATCACATAACACCCATGTAGCATTCGACATAAGAGAATCCATCTCATCATTAATTGCTTCTTTCCAAAAAGCTGAGTCCCTTGAAGCTAATGCTTCTTAATAAGTTTTAGGATCCTCTTCCAAATGTAAAAGTATAGGTATTTTATTGAATACACTATTCCTACTACCTTCAACTAAAAAGACTAACGATTGTGAATAAATAAAATTTGGATCCAAATTCTTCTCTTTTCGTGCTCTCTTACTCCTCCTAGGTTCACTAGGAGTTTCAACTATTTTCCTTTTATTATCATTTGTAGAAGTATTAGGATCCATAGTCGTGTTTTGTGGTAATATAGAATCTGGTTTAGAAGTTGAATCACTTAGAAAGCTTGTTTCTAAAAACTCAACATCTCTAGACTCCACTATTGTATTTGAGTCTAAATCTAATAATCTATATGCTTTAGAATTTTCAGCATATCCCACAAAAACACTTTTTAAGCCTCTTGGTCCTAATTTTGTTCTTTTAGGATCAGGAACTTTATAATAGGCTATACAACCCCATACCTTCAAATAATTTAAATTAGGTTTTCTTCTTTTCCATAGTTCATATGGCGAAACCTTTGTCTTCTTTGAAGGTATTCGATTATGTATATGACAAGCGGTTAATAAAGTCTCTCCCCAAAGGTTAAATGGTAATCTAGCATGCATAAGTATAGCATTTACCATATCAACCAATGTTCTATTTTTCCTTTCGGCTAAACCGTTTTGTTGAGGGGTGTATGGCGCACTTCTTTGATGGATCAAACCATTTTCTTCACAAAAAATAGAAAATTCATTTGGAAAATATTCGCCTCCTCGATCACTTCGTAGGATTTTAATTTTCCTTTCCAACTGATTTTCAACCAAAGTTTTAAACAATTTAAACATATCAAATGCCTGATCTTTTGTTCTCACTAAATAAACATATGTAAATCTAGAATGATCATCTATAAAAGTTATGAAATATCTATTTCCACCCCTTGTTAAATGACCATTCAATTCACATATATCAGAATGTATAATTTCAAGCAATTTAGAAGTTCTTTCATTTTTTGGAAAAGGTTTCTTAGTCATTTTTGCTTGTAGACATGTTTCACATTTTTCAAAATTGTCGTTTGTGCAAGATATTAATCCATGTTTTGACATGAACTTGATTGATCTAAAATTAACATGTGACAAACGAGCATGCCATAAATCAATGGAAGACTCAATCAAGTAAGCGTAAAAATTAATAACTTTATTGATACTTAGTTTGTACATGCCATTACATGAATATCCTTGGCCAACAAATACATTATTTTTGGATAGAATTACTTTTCCTGCCTCTATGACAGCCTTCAATCCCTTGTTGCATAGTGCACTTGTGGAAACCAGATTCTTCCTTATGTCGGGAACATGATAAACATTGGTCAGAACCAACGTTTTGCCAGAGGTAAATTCCAATTCAACCGTCCCCTTTCCAAACACATCAGATGTGTTATGATTTCCCATTAACACAATTTGATTTGGGGCAGCAACTTGATAATCTTTGAATAGATTCTTGTCATTGCATACATGAACAGTAGCACCCGAATCATACCACCAATCATTAGATTGGCAATTTGTCAAGTTGCATTCAGTTACCACATTGATGGAAAGTCCACCAATCATAGCAACAATTTCAGCACTGTTGGGAGGAGAATTTTCAACAACATTTGCCTTCTTTTGTCTAGCATTTGCCTCTGTCTTCAATTTCTTGTAAAACCTGCATTCTTTCTTAAAATGCCCTTTCTTTTGTCTTTCTTATTATTCGCAGAATTTCCAGAAGACATATCTTCACGTTTTCTCTTATTACCGGACTTGTTTCCGTCTTTTCCAGATTTTTTAGTACCACTAGACTCAATATTATTCACCTTAGTACCAGATTCCAAAGCAAATTTATTCTCCCGAATACGAGTTTCCTCTTCAATTCGGATATGCTTTGTAAGTTGGTCTATGGTGAAAGTTTCAGGAGTGTGCAGTAGTTTCTTCCTATAATCATTCCAAGTGGATGGTAATTTTGCAATCACAGCACCCACTTGAAGTTGATCCGACACTTCAATACTTAAATTCTTTAGTCTAGACACTAACAGAAGTAATTCATCCACTTGATTCATCACAGACTTGTTATCTAACATTTGAAACTCAAAGAATTTCATAGTCAAAAATCTGTCCGTACCTTGTTTTTCAGACATGTATTTGTTCTCCAAAGCCTTCCAAATTTCCTGTGGTGATTTAAGTGAACGAAACAGATCATATAAGCGGTCTGACAAGGCGTTTAAGATGAAGCCCCTACAGCAAACTTCGTCTTCCTCACGTTTTTTGCGACTTGCCTTGATCTCATCAGACTTGCCATCAGATGGTTCAGGGATCTTTGGCAGATTATCAGCCAACAGATATGCAACGCCCAGTTCCATAAGAAGAAACAGCAACTTGTCTTTCCAGCGGGTGAAATTGGTGCCATCAAACCGATCCAACTTGATCATATCAGACTTGAAAAATTTGTTCAGAAGATTATCCGAACTGGTGCCCTCCATATTGACGTAAATTTCCTTAAGATTGTTAGAAAATTGGTAATAACTACAACAACAAAATACGGCTTTGACGTGAAAATTCACTTTCCTTAAGGAAATTTGCCCCCACTATTCTACTACCGGGTTTGCAGCAATTCCCTCTAGGAATAACAAAGCCAATCAGAATTTCCACACAGTAGTATGCAGAAACTCTCCCAAGACGATTTAGAGAATATTGTTTTGAACGAAAATAGAAGAAGAATAAAAGTAAAAGTAATGTGTGGCCTCTGTTATCTGGACGTTATTATTTATAGCTCAGATGCCCCAAAAGAAATGTCATGTCTTTTGGATACGTATTTCTTCATGAATAGGTACCTTTTCAAACGAAAGGACACGTAAACGGTTGTATGTGTTGTATCATCAAATGATACCCCTAAAAGGAAATCGTTTAGTTAGGAAGAAATATTAAAACGAAATTAATTAAAATTAATTTCTGTTCCTAAGACCCAAGAGCCCCAAGTGCCCAAGTGCCAATCTTTTGACCATTAAATTTATATTTTAATTTAATAGTCAACATGACAAATGCATGTGAAATTTTGAAGTTTCCCTCCAAAATTTCCTATTATCCAAATTGATTTGAATAGGTGTGCACTTGATTATAAACCTCTTCTATTCTTCGTGTCTTTTCGATGTGGGATTCATCGCTAACTATTTCCAACAGAATCTCCTAGTAGTTAGTGATGGTACAAGAAAAATTTTGCAAGTATGGTGAGCCAGCAAATATGTTTACCTCTTGGACAAACCACAACCCTGGGAGAATGTACTACTCTTGTGGCATTAGGATAGTATGGGATTTTATCTATTTTTCTGGTTACGAATGCAATTCTCCCTATTTTAATTTTTCTCTATTTCATGGATTGAAAAAGGCAGTAGAGATGGCAATGGTTGCAACTACTTTGAATGGCGTGACCCAATCATGTGCCAAAGATGTACTGTACTAATCCCTAGTCTGCTAAGAAGCATGAACAATAAAGATATGATGATTGAAAGACTAAGAGCAACGGAACAAAAGTCGGTGCTAGCAATTGTGGTGTTGTTGATATTATTGTTGATTAGTTTGTGAGACTAGAGCTCTAGTGATGTTTAAGTTGCATCATAGGCATGGGATGAAGATAGAAAGAAAGAAGAGAACAATTCAGCTAAGTTGTTGCTGTAATGTTGTGGTTTCCTCTTTTGACTAGGCTGCTTAGTTTTGGTTAGTCACTGGATTCATTCACGATATGTTTTGTGGATGAATGTGTAGTTTGTGATGTAATTGTACTCTTACACATTTTACACATGCTAATGAATAATTGATTGACTAAATGGTCATCTTTTGGATTTTAATAGCTGTGAGTTGTGTAGTAGTATTATTAGTCTTTGAAAACCAAATTGTACTTGCCAAGGGTGAACTATCTGGTAGTCCAAAACACTAAAAATAAGGGAGTAACTGTCCAAAAATGAGTCATTGAAAATTTAAAACTTCTAAGATTTTCATAACTTTGGCCACAATACAAACAAACATCAAGGACTTGCATTACTAATGTTAAAAGGTTCTATCAATCCTGCCCAGACGACATTACAAAGTTCACAAAAAGATTAGATAATCCTGCCAATAATTCATTACAAATTGAAAGTTGCATTTAGTTAGGACAATGTCAACATTACATCAACCAAAAGATGAATAATTTAGGACTTGAACATTAACAAAATGACTAAAATAGCAGCTCCTTATCCTCGAGCATATGCAACACCAATTCACTTCACTTTGAGAGTCCAAGTTGGATGTGAACGTCTTTAATCCTAAAAGGTGTAGTAAAAGGTGGATTTGGCTAACTGCTATGTTCCACATGATGAGTTGGCAAACCAAAAATTTTGGAGGACATTTTTTTCTAAGTGTTGAACAAAGCAATTGATTTCAAGCCACTTCCTATAAATCGTGGGAGAAACCCTTGAGAGATTCGCGTGAATGGTTCCACGATTTTTGTAGGGCAACAACAAATCTCCTCCAAACGTTCTACCCATAAATTGTGGGACAAACCACTGAGAATTCGCGTGCAGTTATTGTCCAGGCAGCTATTTTAAGAAGCAAAAGCTTTTTCCTTCATTTTCTTCTTTTTCTTCTCTTGTGAACCAACTTCCAACTCACAAAAGCACTTCATCAAATCTCTATTTTTCACCGATTAAATCCTTGAAAATCACCATCAAATCACTCCAAAACATCTTGTGAACAACATCTAAGCATCAAGCATCATCACAAACACCAAATTTTGAAGATTCTCTTTCTTTTTCTCTTTTCATTCATTTTTTCATTTTTTTTAAATTCCCCTACACTGAAGCTTTTTTCATATTTCAACAAGGGAAATGTACTTAATTCTCAACCGTTCAAGTCGTTTGGACGTGAACTCTAACATCTCCTAAATGAAGGACCCAATTGCTCAACTTTTCTCCGCTTAAGAGTCACATAATCATAGCTATCGCCACTTTTTGACGCGAAAATCAACACTTTAAGGTGAAAATCCCCGATTACTAGGCAACGACAACTAGCAGAATATAGTCAAATTAACAGAATAAGCACATAAGCACAAATAAGAAAAAAACTTACTTCATATCCCAATTATATAGAGAAATAAAATTAATAATTAGGCCAAATTCACAAGAAAATGCTAGAAAAATTAACCAAAAATTGAAAAAATCTCAAAATATCAACTATTCACCAAAGAAGTGCTCTAAAGCAACACCATTCAACACTTAGCATATCATGAATATAGCACTTCAACAATAATAATACTTAAAATATAAGCAATTACCTATGAGGAAATCAACAATAAGAACAAAAATTATGAAAAATTTAACAAAAAAATTAAGGCTTTCACTTCGGCCATTTACTCCTCCTCCGCACTTAAAACAATATTGTCCTCAATGTTAGAGATAAAACAAAAAACTAATAATATCAAGAAAATAGTTGAAAGTGAAACTTCCCTGATAACAAATGAAGTACCAAAGACCAAGTGGAGTGGGAGGAAAGTTGTCAGTTACCATCCAATAGTCTAACTCAAGAACCCATCCTACCATCCTGAAAGAAGAAGTGAACACTATAAATAAGAGGCTAAACGCACCACCAAATAATCCAAACTAGAAAAGCAATTAAAATCCTAAAGAAATAGACACCACCATTAATCCCAAAAACAAGGAAAATATTCGATGAAATTAAAAAGAAAGTTTGATTGCTTCTCAATCAGCACTAAGTTTTATGTTTTCAACCAGACAAAACCAGATGGAGTCATGGCGGATGAAATAGTTCAATCATCTGCATATCATCTAATTTATGTGCCAAAAGTACTGCCTAATTTTTCGCAACATTATGCTTTCGGACTGTTGAAGAAGAATATGAGCTGTGATCATGCAAGGGCATAAATCTTATATCTTGGTCTAAGACATATTTTTCACAATACAAATAGTTAGTAGCAATAATATAGGAACAATATTCCTTATTGTGGTGCCCCATTTTTTGAAAGAAAAATAAAATAACGGGTTTATAAAATGAGTTTTTGATTAATTTTGAGTGAAAATGAGTTTTTGATTATTAGAAAATAAATAAAGAAAATGGGCCTAAATGGGACTTAAAAAGTTTGACGATTTTGACCCAAAAATAATAGTTTAAAAAGGGGTTTTAATGAAAAAAAGGAGTCGCCACTTGGTATTGAGTTAAGGTGTACCAAGTCACCTAAAAATGAATTTTAAATGAAAAGTAGAGAAAACCCTTTTTAAACGACTCCAAGTCTGCGAATCAAGAGAAAAGGGGTCGGGAGTCACGGTTGAAGAAAGGAAATGCAAGGATAAAATCCAAGGCACCCTTTCAACCAAACCAAGGCTAGTTGCGTGATTTAGTCAAAAATTTTCTTAATTTTAACCTAAAAACTTATCACAATTGGATGTTACTATATGAATGCAAACCTAATGGTTATCAGAAGGGTCAATATGTCTCTTTGAATTTTAATTGGTGCAAATCGTATTAATTGCGACGCACAAAAGTGATTCTTCGAAAAGGTCACGAATATGCAACAAAATGAGATTCGAAGAAAGAAAATAATAATAATATACAAATATCCATGACCTAAGGGAATGCATCATAATGGGTATGGGAGTTAACGTTCGTGACTCAATTTTCCCTTTTATAGAAGGAATACGAGCGTGCTAAGGCTAGAAAGCCATACTCATCTATATCCCGTATTCGAGGGGTATTTCTCCTATCTAATCAAGCAAATGATCTAACTTAGTTCTAATTTTCTTAAATGGAATACAAACCTACATGTTATGTGTCGCACATGGTAATAAGGGATATATATAGGGGAGATATGGGATAAGGGATATATAGGGGGAGTATGAGATAAGGGATGTACATATAAGGGAAATGTGCAAAATGATAAAAATCCTAAAAGGTAGAAAATATGCATGCAAATGTAGTGATTATCACATAGACATGATCTAGCGCGCGGGTGGTCCCTAAGGGTCTAGCGTTGGACAAGTGAGAAATCGGAACAAAGGGCCACAACTAGCGTTGGACTAGTGTAGTGACATCATACATTTATTAGAACTAAACAAATCATATAAAACTAATAAAAAGCAAGTAAACACATAAGTCACATAGTGCACATAGCACATAAACATGATATCTAGATGCAAGACCCTAAGAAAGCGAGTAACACATAAACATATAAGCATACAAAACACACAAAGCAAATAAAGACCTAACTATTACATGTGGGGCCCTAAAGGGGGAAGGAATAAAATAAATAATAAAATAAATACCTAACTATTATATACTCTATCTAAATACATGTCTTGAACCCCCTAACTATTACAATTTGGCATTTAAATGCCCCTTAAATAATCAAACATTAAATTAAAATAAATATACTAAATCAAAACAATTAAAGTGACTAAAAAAATAAATGAAATAAAACATTCAAAAAGGCATGCAA